GCCTTGACGGCGCTGAAAATCATCCCAGTCGAGGCTTATTACAAGTGTATGCAAAATTGAATTACGCGTTGGCTTGCTTGTATTGGCACAAAAGGAGCCTATCAGTCCGTGTCAAATTTTATCAGACGGCAATCGCTTTGTCACGAAATAGTTTACTTTTGAAGGCAGATACAAAGAGGATTATAGACACTTTAAAATGTTATTTCGTAATAATCCAGTGTATTGAGATAGAAATTTAGAATAACGGAAAGCATATACTTTTCTTAGTATATGTCACTGATATTTTACAACTTTAATTTGTTTAATGGCATAGCTATAAAAAACATTTCGCTGAAGGAATTTACAATCCTCTTTCCACCATAGTTCTAGCAGGAAAAATGGTGAACGTACCTATATACACATACACTTGTATGTATATATACATATGTATATTTTTATGTATATGTTTAATGTCTGTATATATGCATTTGACTTTAATGAGTAGCGTTGACATCATTGCTCAGACATTACGGCGAGTAAAATAGCGTTCACACACACATACACACCTAAGCTTGTATAAGTTTACGTTTTTCCGTTTCTAAAGAAGGCTAGATGATTGAATATGCATTATTTATAGCTCGTTTTCTAGTTTCCTCTATTAAATATTTCAAATATAATATATATAAATAATTGTTGCGAGTCTTTTCTCCGTATTTGTATTAAATTATTGTTTTCTTCTTATATTATATATTATACTCTGAACTGGGTACATTGAGTTCGCCACGAAGTTTGCAAGACCCAAAAGGAAACGTCGGAAACCCTATAAATTATATATATAAATGATCAGAGTGACGAGCTGACTCAATTAAGCCATGTCTGTCCATTTGTCTGTATATAACCGCCGATATCGGACAACTATAACACATAGCTGCCATACTAACTGCCCGATCAAAGTCAAGTTCGTGTATGACAAACTATTTTATTTGACGAGATATCTTTAAGAAATTCGGCACAAAGTATTACAGAAAAACAAGTAAGCAACGGCTAAGTTCGGGTGTAACCGAACATTTTATACTCTTGCAACTTGCATGAATGGAAGCCGTGTACTTACTTTCAGGCGATGGCAAAATTTTATATTAACACTAAGGGGGGCTAAAGTATTTATTGTTGCGATTCTAACCATATTTGACATATGGGCATAGTATTATCAGGAAACGATTTTTTCTGAATTTCAACTTCACAAATTGACGACATATTCGATAAAAAGCTCGTAATAGGAACTGGGGTCCACATTTTCGGTATCGGGTGGCTTGACGAGTTGTAATCAAAGTTTTATCTTGATGTATTAATTGGTGCTTGATTTGCATACTGGAAAGGGAAAAGTTCAGTTGGAATTTAAAATGTTGTTATATGGAAAGTAGGTGAGTTGTTATCCGATTTCGCCCATTTTCGCACTGTAGGTAGGATGTCACAATAATGTTATGTACCAAATTTGGTTGAAATTGTTCGAGCAGGTCCCGAGATATAGGTTTTCCACATTGCCACGCCCATTGTCTCATTTTGATATGAATGCCTATAATGCTTATTTTTAGCATCTCGTGTACAAAATTAAGTGTCTCCCACGCTCTTTTTTTATTGAGCTATCGTATTTTTTAGTAGTTCTCATCATAATCGTTATATGTGGAGTGGACGGGGTTACAATCCGATTTCAACCACTTTTAGCCTGTCGAAGGAGATGCTAAAAGGACTTGCTCCGAGCAAGTTTCGTTGATTTAGATTAAGTAGTTCGGTAGAAACTATGTAAATTAAACCTATCAGGGGGACTTTTTAAATATTTTCAAACCACACAAATTACAGTTTTTTTCTTAATATGGAGCTTAGTTATAGCACTTTATAGAGTTTCGTTTAGATATCTAAATTTTTACTAAAGCTTTTCCATGCACGGACGGACGGACAGGCAGACAGTCACTCGGCTCGTCATCCTGCTCATTTACATATATAGATATATAATATAACCTATATAACTCGATTAGTTCAGATGATACAAACAACCGTTCAGTGAAGAAACCTATTATACTCTGCAGCAACATGTTGCAAGAGTATAATGACGCTATAATCTCCAACAACAACTTGTTTAGATCGAACAAATATAGCATATACCTCTAATATAAGCTGACCAAATAATGTTGTAAAATAAGACGCGCAGCCGTTCGTGTTTGAAATAGTGCTCCGCTTTGGTTGCCCAGATTTCCCCTATTTATAGATATTCCTTATCCTAGTTCATGTGTTACATATATCTATCTTAAGCCTAATCTACTGTTTATAACGGCATTATCTACACATATCTTAATCATAAATATTCACAACCGCATATCACAATTGTTTCCTATCTCTTTATTACTTTAGGATAATTTTACATAGCCAGTGCAATATTTGTATTGCATACAATAAATACTATAGTCTCTATTCAATATGAGAGTACATTCGTATATGCAGCCGATAATGGACCAAAATATTTGTAATATGATATCTGCTTAAATACAGATTTACAAAACTATCTTATCTACAATTGTAGCCGTTAAGAACTGTTCAGAAATCTGAACAAATGTACTTGTATGGAAAACTTTTTTATTTGACAAGTTATCTGCGAAAAATTTGACACAGACAATTCTCCAAGACAACCACATAATCTCCTGATATATTATTGATGATCAAAAAGTTCTTGTGTGGAAAACTTTTTTATTTGACGAGAGATCTTTACGAAATTTGGTACAGATTAAGGCAACGCTATAGTTTCCGAATATATTGTACATATCGGAGCGCTATAGCACAATGGCAAGAAACATATTTTTTATACCCTTTTTTGATATACGAAATTCATTTGTTTTTCTTATACCCTGAGCAGGGTAAGTTTGCCACAAAGTTTGTAACACCAAAAAGGAAACGTCAGAGACTCTATAAAATATATACATAAATGATCAGCATGATGAGCTGAGTTGATTTAGCCATCTGTCTGTCTCAGTTTTTAAGCTATCGATCTGAAATTTTGCACCTGTCCTTTTCTCACTAAGAAGCTGCTAATTTGTCGAAAGGGCCGATACCGGCCACTATAGTATATAGCTGCCATACAAACTGAACAATCGGAACCTAGTACTTGTATGGAAAACTTTTTTATTTGACGAGGTATCTTCACGAAATTAGGCATAAGTTATTGCTTAAGGCAATAATGTATTCTCCGCAGAAATTGTTCAGATCAGATCACTATATCATATAGCTGCCATATAAAATCGGAATCAAGTTCTTGTAAGGCGGCTTTGTATTTGAAGGGTTCTATAGCTTCGGTGCAGGGTTCTATTTCTTATTTTGTTGCTATTATAAAGAGCATTTAATATTTTACGTAATTTTCTTGAAAACAAACACTTAATTATGTTTAATTAATTTATTTTGCTTTACTAGTCGTTTTGTGAAAGTATTTCTAATCTATAACACACATACATATACACCTAACCATTCTATTATTGTTGTTGCTCACACATACGTATATACACATATAATCTTGAACACTGTTAGTATTTGTATTTGCATGTTTTAATATAAATACACACATACATAGTATGTCTGGATTTGTATATGTATGTGTGTGTGTAATTGTGCGCGCATGTATGGGTCAATTGACGATGACGAAATCAAAAGTGGAATTGACTACGTCAACATGTTTCACAGCTTCATGCCGCTGGCAACCCACCGAGATTGTTGTTGACACCGACAGCGTTCATGTTACCGGCAACTATTGCTACCTAAACAAAAACAGTAACAGAAATTACAATAGCAGCGGAATGAAAACAACAATGTCAGCAGTAATAATAAAAACAAAAAAACCAAAAAATATACAAACAATAATAAACACACCTACAAAATAAGAGTGCGAATGGCAAACGTAGTCAAATTATAGTTGCTCTGTTGTTGTTTCGGTGAAGTGCTATAAAAATTATAGAAGGAATATAGTGAATATATGTGCAGGTGTGTATGAACAATTTTATATGTGTATGTATGTATAAATGTAATTAACCCGACTGCGCGCAACTACAACGCCCCGTCGGCACCTATGCGCCACAGACTTTTGCATGTGAATATATATATATATATATATATACATCAATATGTATGTGGTGGATGATTTTTGTTTTCATTTATTGCCTTTTAACGCTCGCCCGCATTTTTGTATATTTCTTAAACTTTATTTTTCCTCCCACTAAATCCAGTGTGAGTTTTTACTTTGAGCGCTTTAATCGGTGAGCGGTGGTGCGCTGAGCGTTGAACATTGACTTTGAACTATAAAATTCCGTCATATGTTTACATGAGGCGGTCGCGCGCTTGGTCAATTGTGGTGACACATTCTGCGCCACGACGCGCCGTACTCTGGCCCGCACCGCGCTGAAAGGGTGGGTGGGCCCTTCACGCGATATTAACGCGTCAGACCGAAACACTAAATAAATACGCCAACAAAAGGGTGCACAAACGCGCACACATGCATAAAAGCGCGCTGTTTAATGGGAAATAGTACCGGGCATATTGAGTCTATGGTATGTAGAGCGTAGCGGTGGGAGCGACAATGCAATGTAGCTACTTGGGTGCTTGGGGTGCTTGGGGTGCTGGCGCTCCATTGCGAGGCTCGATTATTTTACTTCACTACTAACCTACTCTTGATCACTCGTAATTTCTTAGACAGCATGCACACACATACATACATACATACACAAAGCCATAAAAAACATACCTACCCACTATCTATATACAACTTTACTTACAATTACTTATCTACTAATTTATTTTTATGTTTGTAGATACAATAGCTTGTAACTATTGGTATGTCGGTATGTATGCATGAATGTATATGCGACTATGTTCATTTGTGTGTTTGTGTGGCAAGTCGAAGTGTGCGCCCCATTGAAATTTACACACAAACTATATTTACGTATGTTTGTATGTATTTATGAGTTAGTGGAGCCGGTCGCCACTCAGTCAGTCATTGGCAGAAGTTCGGTTTGTTGAGACGCACTCGTTTGTGTTACGCGGTACGCGCTCGTTTGAATTCCGTTAAATATTAAAATAAATTTCAAAAATTGTTTGTTTTTTGTTTCGTGTTATTAGTAGTATTTTTTTGTTTTACTTTGTGTAAAAGCGTTTGAACTGAATCCCAGCTAGTGTTTTCAGCAAAAGGTGATTTAATAAATTTTACATTTCCTTACAACTAATTGTCTTTTTAATTATGGCAATTATTGCTTGAAACAACTACATTTATCGCACTTAATGCTCTAACAAGTAAAAATGTTTGCTGCCTGTTGGTCGCAGCGCTTGATATCATAAACTCAAATATTTGCTGCAGTTAATTATTGCCACATTAATGTATCAAAACATTAAACAAATAATAATAAAAATATTTTAGAAAATGTGCTGTGGTGTGTGGTGACTGCCAATGAAACCCACGAGCGCAGGCAGGCAATCTGCTATAAATTATTATAATTTTTTTCGAAATAGTTCAATCAAGCTGTAGTTCAAATCAAGATAAATTATTTCAGATTTTTAATGAGCTTGTATCCATATGTGCATAAGAATTAATGAGTGAATGCTAACAGCAAATAATTAAACGGAAAAAATATATTTATCGACTTAAATAATACAGTTTTATAAAATATGTAAGTATGTGATTTTGTGTTTTAATCCTCAAGTGCGCGGCCTTGTGATAAGTGAACTAACTTTTGCTAATACAAGGAAAAATGGATTAAATAAATTTCGCCAGAATTTTTATATTTGATATATTTTTATATAAAGTATGATACGAAACAGTCCGACATTTAAGGAATGAAATTCATAATACAAACTGTTAATAAAAGTAAAATCACGCTCAGAACGAAAATGATGACAATAACAGCGAATAAGAAAAAAATTAACTCATATTGCTGTTTATAATTGGATTTAAAATCATATTTTTCGAATCTCGGATTTTTGAAATTTTTTTTTAGAATTTGTTTTCCCTTGATAAATTTTATAATTTTTCATAATATTAATATTATTTTTTATAGAAAACAAAAAATCATAAATGATTTACCATAAAATAAATTGCAAAAAGAATACGTTAGATTAAATAATATAGTACCTAGAAGCGTTGATCTACTTCAGACTATACACCTCAGTGCGACATGTCGTATACGTGACCACAAAGTCGTAAAAAAGTTTGGTGATTTTTTATTGCTCTCACGAATCAACACTCTTACACAGTATTGCGCGGAATATAATCACATAGTTTTTTTTTAAATATATTTTATATAAAAAAGTTAACAAAGTTCAATCAAATAATTTTTTATTTCTTTGTTTGTTGTTGTTAGTTATTCTACATTTTTATAAGCGCAAGAAATGACAAAAATTGTCATTTGTTTTTAATATTTGTTAATACATTGAATAGAAAAACTTAACAAGTGTGTGAAAAATATATGAGTGTTTTCAAAAAAAGAATGATTTAATTTTTATTCCACCAAATTCAATTATGCTCCCCTAATTCTTGTACAACTTTGTGCACTTTTTTATATTATAATTTAAACAGTGTTTCACAAACATAGAAGTACGTTGCAAATTACATTACGATATTTAAACTATATTTACGCTTATAACTGTAAAAATTCCATTGATTCGGGGGAGAAGGCCGTAACACTTTATATACAAAATGCATGAAAATATAAAAATAAACGATTGACGATTTTTTCCGACTTTTTAACATAGCAAAATTAACATATAAATGTTTCTCAGTGTTGAAAATTTTGTGAAAACCTGCAATCCACTTTTGGCATATTTGCTAAGCTAGAGCTAGTTCCCTTACGGCTATTTTCATATTAAAGTATTGAAAACGAACTAGAAAAAACACTTTTTCGAGCATAAAGTTCGGCATATTGAGAAAACAATTCCATAGGTTTAGCCAATACTATTTATATAAAAAAGCCGAATATAAAGATAAATCTATTAAAATCTTACTTTGAGTTATAAGAACATCTCACCTTCGAATTCCTGAAAGGAAAACTAAAAAGAAAGAAAAAAAAAATATAAGGTATTATTTTTAGAAATATTTTTTAAATTACCTAAATGTAGATTTATCTTAAAAAAAAAAAAAGAAATGAAATAGAATCGAATTCTGAAGCTTAAAAAAAGGCAGAAACTCTGCTGTTCTTTTCGTTTTTGTTAATATTTTATTGTTTTCAATCTGCTTGTAAACGAATATGTACGTATGTTTTTAATACATATATACAACAGTTATATGTTAATTTCTAGTACAAAATTTAAATCAATTGATCTTAAGTGCTCTTTAAGTTATAGGCCGTTTCAAGTGTTATGTGTTAGAAAAAGCGTATGCTTGACATTATTATATACATGTATGTAAACATAGCATAAACTATACTTATAACTTTAACCTACTCGAGGTGTATAAAATTCAATAATATTGCTGATCTCTTTTGTGTTCGAAAAAAGTATGTTTTTATTTTGTTTACTTCTCATATTCTCTTTTTTTTTGTTCTCCTCATCAACGTAACCAAGTTTTTTTCTGATGTTGTCATATGGTAAACTCTTACTTGCTGTAACCTTACATTTACATGTATTATATATGTATATATATATGTATAGTCTGTTATAGTCTAACTTATTATATGCTGTAATGAGTCTTAACAAATCGTAGGCGCACCCCATCGTCATTGGCATTGGCATTGATCTCCAACTGTGCTTTGTCGTTTCGAATGCGTGGAAAAAACACAACAACAAATTGGTTCGGAATAAATTAGTGACTTCGAATTCTTATAAAACAGATATTGAAAATCGCTAAGGTTTCGAAAGAGTGACGAAAAGATAAAAACAAAAATGTGTCTGCGCTGAATGAAGCAAACTGTTGTTAAACTAAGAACTATGATATATACTTACATACATAACGCAAATGTATAAAGATTAGATATAGTCATTGTGTCAAATAAAAGCGAATATTTTATGTTTTGAATTGGTTGGCCACACATCTGTTTCGTAAACAATGATGTCATTTTAGTGTATCTGTAGGTCGAAATTAAGAGGAAAGCAGAAACTTTTAAATTTATACAAATATGTAAAGGGTGTAACTTTAAGAGATATGTACTTATATATTTTCATTGATAGAGGGCTGTTAAGCTAGCTGTCAAAGTGAAGCCATTTGTTTACATTTATATTCGGCATACTTTGGCAAACTACTATGTAAAGATTTTAACTGAAACCACGTTGAACATTTTTGTTTTTTATATTAAAAGAAAATCTTTGCTGAATTTGTGTTGTTTCATAAAAAAGCTTAAGTAAGGTTAGGTAAACTGACAGATATTTGCGGAACCACGAATAATCCCACTTGAACAGCTAGGAACGTCTATTCTTTCTGATGCCCGGACCTACTAAGCATAGACTAAGAAGTCCATCCCATATCAAAAAAACGTATGAGCCTGCCACAAATTTATTAAGGCGGTTCACCTGGTTCGTGGAAGGTCTGGACATTTTCTAGATATAAAAAATTTACATTTACTTATTTTATAGTTAACGCATCGTGAGTTTTGAGAGAAATTTCTGGCAGAACCAGATTGTGTATATAGGAAAAGGCTGTAATTAAGGATCAAAAACTCTAAAAGGAAATTCCATTGCATGCAGAAAAATAGACTGCCTGTTGTAGGCCAAAGGCATAACGTTCACATCAATATGAATACTCTTAGTACTAAAGCAGATTCAAGCGCTACAGCCTAACAAGCCACACATGAAATTTATGAACTTCTGGTAAAGGAAGCATATCAAAATATTGGCTAGTCAATTAGTTATCCTGTTCATGTGATTCGATTACTGTTTGTCCTTTTTTGTGGGGGTTATTAATCTGATGTTGTGACGCTACCTATATCTGATAAGCCAGTAACGACTAACCAGCTGAAAAAGTCTGAATTACATATTAACCATTTCATCTAGTTTTCTGTGTGCTATTTCAAATAAATGCCTATAGCTCTAAAAGAAGCAGCTTTTATATGTAATATACTTATAGTACATATGGTATGTTAATCATAACATTATATACAACTGAGACCTCCCCCCTCCCTTACTTAGTAACAAATCTATATATTTTTGTAAGTCATAAATATATTTTATTGGAGTGATTTGAATTTTATGATTTAAAAACATTTCATACTCAAGTCGCCTTATAAATACTAATATGCCATATACATACCTACAACGTGCCTACACTTTAGTCTGTAAAAGTATATCACTAGCGTAATTTTAATGACATTAAGCGCAATTAGATTTTACTCTGCATTAAAGCAGTATATTAATATGTATGTATGTATATGCACCTAAGTAGTTTTGCTTCGACAACGGTTGTTTATTGTGTTTAGTTAGAGTGCCCGTGTTCATAAAATACTTGCATTATGTTCCGGGTAATGAAAAATTTATAACGGTATATTTTCTGCTGATATTAATCAAATAATAATATGTGACACATGTCTATCCCACCGTTCCAAACACGAAGCGAACCGGGAGAACATCGAACTATTTACCGAGTTTTTACAAGATTATGGTGACATGTGTTACTCTTTCATTTTAATAATATACAGGCGTAGGTTAATTATTTATACCAACATAAGAAGAAAAAAATTTGGCAATAAAACCGTTTTTTTCTATGTTTGAAGATTCAAAGTTCGATTTCAAGACCCTGTGAAAGGTGGCCATGCAATTATCTGCAATCTTTACTCGCTTAATTGCACTTGAGCAATTACACAATTTTTGTTTTATTAGGTCAATTAACTGGTGAGAAAACTATCATAAATCTTATTTGTTTGGTTGACAAGTTCGTAGAAATATGGCAGTGGTACGATATAATTTACTTTCCCAAAACTGGATCGAATCAAGCAAAGTCTAAATATTGTGATACGAACAAACAGCTGGTATGAATTTTTTTTTTTGCAAAAATGCCTGAAAACATTTTGGTATTCGAAGGGTTTTCAACTGAACAGATAGGTTGAATTACGTTAAGCAGTCTATTTTAGTATCCTTCAGTCAGACTCTATTTTGAAAACTTTTTTTAAAGGGTTTACAACTAAACAGATGGGTTAGATTAGGTCGAACTGACTTTTTTAGTAACCTTTAGTCAAAAACTATTTTGGAAACGTGACTGAAACATAGACAAGTAATATTTTCTAAAACAGACAGTGTTGACATCTCCACAAGAAACTAACTCGAAAATCTTAGGACTTCTTAAACATTTTATTATTAAAAATATTAAACTTGATATTTGGAGTATCAGTATCAGGTTAATGTGTTTACAGTTCCTAAGAGCAAAACTGGTCAAACACTAAAATTACTAAAAACAAGAAAAAGCGTTAACTTCGGTTGCGCCGAAGCTATAATACCCTTCACAAATACAAAGGCCCCTTACAAGAACTTGATTCCGAACGTTCAATTTGTATGGCAGCTATATGATATAGTGATCTGATCTGACCAATTTCTGTGGAGAATAATTTGTTGCCTTAAGCAATAACTCGTGCTTAATTTCGTGAAGATACCTCGTCAAATAAAAAAATTTTCCATGCAAGCACATTACTCCGATCGTTCAGTTAATATGGTAGCTATATGCTATAGTCATCCGATCTATACAATTTATTCG